TGCAGACTTAGGCAGGTAGACCAACCTCAACAGTGTTACACTACCTGTAGTGTCTACTCTGCTTGGCTGAACGAAGACATGCTCCAATAACAGCTGATAATATCTCTGTTCGTAGTCGATAGTCTTCATACCGGTTTATGATCCTCATAATGAGACAATCACTTCGCTTCATGCTCGAGAATCATCCCCATTATTTTGATGGATATTTTTTTTATCAATGTGCGTATCTATAATAACATTGTAGTCGTTGTTCTATTTATATCATACAGCCTTTTCGAAGCCAGTTTGCCGACAGAGGCAGGAAATTATTTTACCGCTAATGTTTCTGTCATACATTACTGATTAAACGATTTTGAGCCGGTTAGACAGGTTGGCATTAGGCTTGATTCTGGAAACCCGTCATTCATTCATTATTCTCCGTGACCGCATCTCCTTTCGGGTCGCGGAGTAGGAGTTGTCAAACTGTGTTTAAAACATCCCGATTCCTGTAACAGCATCTTAGCTTTGACAGAAGACCACTGGAGTCGAGAGAAGACTCCCTCAGTACGCTAAATTAATTCGGGATTGCCCCTGGGTCTTCTACCGGTCCGTTGAGCAAGAAATAGCACTTTTACCTTACTTGTTGGAGGCCGAAAGACAAGACGTGTCAAAAACTTTGGAGGTGTGACTTCTCAGTTTGGAGAAGTAGCGGCTATGCACCAAGGCTCTCGCGGGGATTTCTCTTCTCCGAACCATGTCGAGACGCATGAGGCAAACGATTGGTCTGAGAAAGCCCACTTTACCGGCTTGTACCCGGAATCGAAGTTTTTCGATCATGGTTTACAGTTCATGACCGCAAGGAAGCACTGGGATGAAGATCGACTTGAACACTAAGTGCTTAGTCTTCAAATTCAGCTGTGCTTTGATCACAGCACTTAGGGTTTGTTCACGCAGAATTCCAATCGGCGGTCGATTCTTCTTGCAGTTTTCCAATACACTAAACAGGACGCAAAAGTAAGTGAATTTCTCTACCTGTTCAACTGCTACTCCGTCTCTCTGCAAAGCTCAGTGAGTAGCATACGAACAAAGTACTAAACTTCTTAGTTTAGACAAGTACACACGCATGACGGCCACTCAGCGTTTGGCAGCAAACTTTTCCGTAGAAAGGTGGAGATCACTTTCAGAAGATGCCGACGAAACAAGGTTTTCTAAAAACAGCAACCTTCTCGTCTTAACAACCTCAAACACCGATAGACTCATTGCCCTGGCTGCCCCTGAATATTTTATCCATGTACGATACAAGCAGGAGAACGGATTGAACGAAGCCTTGGCGGAGGCCAGTGCCAACAGTGAAGAGTCTTCGACTTAACGCCATTTACTCTGACACAACACCTACTATAAGCATACAGTGACTGGATGGCCCGTAGCAACTGTCTATCTATCGCTTATGTTCGCAGGCATGTTGTTGCGCGGGATTCGGTCATACGCTTTGTCTAAGTCCTCAAAGCACATACAAACCAGATGGGCGAACTCCTAGGATTTTTCAGTAGTCTGGCCTGGACAAATATTTTCTCAGATGTGCTTCGGCAGGGCCGGAAGCCACACTGCTCTTCTTATACCTTGGAGGCAGTTATTTTGCTGCACATTCTTTCTAGCATGTAGACTTTTCGGTGTCTACTCCGACATGTGCATCAAAACTATCCATACGAATGAGAGATTCCTTAGTCGGCACTTCGTACAGAGTGCGCTCTACTTCCTCAAGGAGGGTCTCATTTTCTGTTCGAAATTGGTTGCCTAGACCTGTAACAAGGTCAAGGTTTTTGCCCGTTATAGCTTCAGTTGGAAGATTGCCACTTTTCGCTGACAGGCTTCCATTCAGTGGTTCTCTGAGCTACGTTTGGTTCTGTTAGGAACACTAAATTCGGCTTGAACGCGCGTCATGATGTCGACACCTGAGTAAAGTAGCATCCATCCGCATAGGTTCAGCATTCTGCAGCTTTGGTGCTTCACTGACTAGAGTAACTCTGTCGAGTTTGTGCCCTGCGGCCTCATCGATCAGCTGCTGCTTTTTCCCTGTGAGTGAGGATATATTCCAGTTTACGTTTGTAAGTTTCTACTGTTGGTATCTTTCCTGTGGAACCTTTTCTGACGTTGTATAATAGCAGTGCGTTGTCTGCCTCCTCCGTTCAGAACGGGTAGCGACTCTGTTGCTGAGTGATATCTTCTTCGTCGTTTTGTCCATCTTTGGCAGCCCTTGTGCTGCTACACCTCCGGCTGCCAGAAGGCTGTGAGCTGGTTCTGATCGCCGACTTTTCACAGCCTTCCTCAGTCCCTTAATAGCCTACGTGGTCACTGGTAACCCGGGCGACTTCCAAATTGGTATATTCGATGATGACAGTCCTCTGAGGGGCAGGTGGCTATGTTTTACGGACACCTCCCCACGGTCCCCAGCCTTCCTTCTTTTTTATCATTACTTGAGACTAGCAACGGCTGAGTTGGAAGCACATCTAATGCGTTGATATGAAAATTATTCATTCGTATAAGGCGAGATCTCTAAATGACGGATTAATTAATAGATTGAAATTATGAGGTCGCGTAGGATAATAACCAGTAAGGTAAACTTAGCGATTAGTTTCATGCCTTTCTGAATTAACGGTAGCGTTGAGTAAATATATACAAATTAAATTTTTAGCTTATTGCTTTCTTAATCTGCTTTCTTAATCTTATAAATGCCTTTTAAACTGAATTGTTGTGGTTTTTAATGCATGGTGATTTAGTGCATTTGTGGTAGAACCACGCGAATCCGATGAGTGATAATATTGGTCAAGGGGAACTTGCTCAAGGAATCTCGCGATAGTCCCTCAGGGAATGCCTCAGCGTTCAACATCGGATTCATAAAAAATTATCCGTCGATTGGTTTGTTCAACGTAAGTGGGTCTCTCAGCTCAGAATCATAATGGTTCAACCCCTCGCCCATTAATTAAAACACACAGGGCTTACTTTATTTACTGTTTTGCATATGTGCGCATAATAGTGTAGTAATATTCCTTGTGGAAGTTCGTTACCATTATGTTGTCTGTATCATTTATACATTCTGGATGGTGGATATATATGGATACTATCTTCATGCGGCTTATATGTTGTGTTAAGCTCTGTTTTGACCCTATCAGCTCTGTGTCATTTTTGAAGCGAACTGCATAGCGTGTAGTTCTCTACTTATGTCGTACTTTTTGGTAATATCTGTTTTCCACTTGGAAGGATGAGACACTAGTGTCCCTTATTAGTTTCTAACCGATTCTCGCATTGCTAGTTCTGAGAACGTACCGGACACTTAACTGCAGTGGTGTTTTTTTTGAAGCTTCCTAGAAACATATTCTCATCAGTTGTACAGATCGACAACAGATATTTGAGATAGTTATTATTTTTGAAAAAACCATTTATTAATCGTTATAAGCTGCATGTGCAAGTTGCCTTGGCTTGTCCTTCATATCCGAAACTCCAACCGTTTTGCATACATATGTGTATATACATTTAAGCGTCATAAATTTTTACCAGTTCATTGCTGAACGAAAGCCTCCACAACTGCCATAAACTTCATTTTTCCGTATTTTTATGCATATTGATCCAATGAACTTCTTTACCTCATCGTGCTGTTGATTTGGAGGTCTTCCTACGTGTCTTAATTTCCATTGGAATCCACTAGTCCAATGTCTCTTTTGACGGGCGATGGTCTGCTTTTCTTGTGACGTCTCCTCAATGCCACTTTAATTTGTTCACTCAGGCGATGATATCGCACACTCTTGTTTGTACTCCCATTCATTTTTCGTCCTGTCTGTTCTTGTTATTCCCAACATGCATCTTCCCATGGTGCGTTGCATACTCTGCAGTTATGAATAGCTCACATTCTTAGGATCCACGTTTCATACCCCCATCGAGAATTGCTGGACGTACATGGTAAAATATTCTCTGTTTCGATCACAGAAACAGTTTTCCGAATATGCATATGAATTGCGGCTATGATCTTCAGTCTTCGAAAAATGCTCCATGCGGTTTTTACTGTTGATTTCGCAGAGCCTGTGCACTGTTGCAGAGGTGAGCTGTCCCAGTTTTGCACCTCTTCAAAACTGAGTCAGTTGACTTGAATAGGTTGCGGGGTCACATTTTTGTTGAACATGGCCTGAACCTTCAGATCTGTTTTCAGTCCCGCCTTCATCCATTCAAGCATATGTGCCTTAAATGCACATCTATACATTTCTTTACAGAGTTCCATGTATGTTTCATATGAAGAAGTATTATTTTCATATATATGATGTTTTCTGTGAATTTCGTGCGTTCTGAAATTCATACTGATTCAGTACCAGTGTTGGAACTGAAAATTCGTTTGGACAGAAAGCCTTCCAATACGATTTCTATGAACCTACAAAGGATGCATCGATATAATAAAAAAAAATAAAGCTAAGAATACAGTTTATGGATTTTCTTAGTACCTATAGTCGTCATTTCGTACCAGTTTCTTGAAGACTTTGACTGTGCATTCGATTAAATGATCTTTTTTTGCTTTTCGACTTTGAAGCATCGTTCAATGATACATTTATATGCATGTTCGTTGTAGATGGCGGCTTACACAACATGAAGAATACGTTAAACTGCTAGAAGCGAAGATCACCGAGGTATCTCTTGAATTACTTTGTCAGTGAGGAATGTATTAATTGATTTGATGTAGTTTGTCCGTACTACCACCGATATGATCGATAAAGGAAAGCTTTACATTGCATCATATCAGTAAGAGTGGAGACTACTGAATTTGTGAGCATCATTACGTTCTTCTTTTGTTTTAAGAACCTTCCTTAAAGCCGCGGAGGACATGAGCACGAGCTGTTTTCAGCAAGATTCGTTTCTGTTTCAGGCACTGACCACGATTCGGAATGTCTTAGAGGAAGTTTCCAGGTATGAAAAGGTAAAACGTATTTTTTTATTCTTATCTTGATCCATTCGCATTACAGCTTACTCCCCACTAGGTCCTGATAGAACAGACATATTGGTCTTTGGTCAAGAACTTAAACGACTTGTGTAACAGGTATTGTACAATAGTTCAGATAGTTTTTTTTTAATCTGCTGCTCGAGATCCTTCCCGAACTTATGCTTAATATACATAAACAGGTATTTACTACTCTCCATAAATCCAACTTTCGTATCCAGTTCGAAAAGGACGAGTATTGTCAACATAAATGATTTCATGCCGGGACAGAGTACTGAAACATATAATTTCCGTTGTCTGAAGACAAGTAAATACTTCTTTGAAGTTAGCTGATGGGGCATTGGTGTCTTTTTATGTCTTTAACGAAAATCGGCGAAAGGACTACAAATCTGACAGAAATACGGAGAATTAGCATACGTGTTGCTGCCGCCTTCAGATATTGGCAGCAACTCAGCCTTCCTGATGTGACAAATTCAAGACATATTAGATTTTCTCATTACAGTGACCGGTAGGTTCTGTCTCATAGATTTCCATTGTATACTACTATAGATTGCGGTTTGATACTGCTGAACTCCAAGTGATATCCTGATTTCGTAGTGTAATATAGAATATTCTACGTAGTGTCAAAGAGAGACAAGTGGTAATAATGCTGAACTTCAGTATTAAATGCATTTCCAACTAGGTACGGTCACAGTTCGTTCAATATGCTGTTTCTTAGTTTAACGTTTTAGTCAAAAGTTTTCCGTGATTATTGTTGCATCGAATTATGCATTAAACACGTTTAAGTGTATGAGATTTTGAGTACTTGTAGTGTCATGATTGTTTTATGCTCGTTGCAGACTTTCTTTCTAAGCCAATATCTGAAGTTGCCCTAGTCCATTAGTCACTCAAAATATGTTCATATCTCATCTTGTTAACGGAAATTAATGTACCCTCTTTTTAGAGATCTCAACAAAGTTCACGATGTACAAAATCACTTCGTCCGCGTCAATCGCAGCCTCGACGAGGCATTGGCCAAAAGCGCTAGCGTGTCGAAAAGCAAAGAACAGGAATGCTTTGAGGCTCAAAATGAACTAACGTCCGTCGGAACCTGTTTCGCACATTCGTCCTTAGACTACATTTATCAGGTATTATGGCTCTGAAATTTTGAATCTCTGAAATTGAGGGAAATCTTAATCAGGCGTCGATTCTACGACCACCGCGGTGGCAAATGTTGGTTTTCTGGTGGGGACAGACCTGGTTAACAGACTATTTGAATCTAAGTTTATCAGTGGAAGAGTGGAAAATCTCCTATTGAAGTTGAAATAGTAAAACGCTTTGACCTTGTTACAGTTACAGGCAAACTCTAAACGGAAAATATTAGTCCTCCCTTGAGGAAGTAGAAATTGCTCTGTATGAAGTGCTGATTACTGAATCAGTCATTCTCTTGGTCGATTTCAATGCACGTGTCAGAGCACACTGAAAAGTTTAAACGCTTATTTTGGAATGAACGTCCTTAACGATCTCAAAAATAACGGTTTTGTACAAATAACAGTCTCTGTAATTAACACCTTTCAGCGTCGAAGCGTGCACAAGTATACCTGGTACAGGGAAGCTTATGCACAGAAGTAGATGATCGATTTGATAATCGTATCGTCTGACTGCGATGCTTTGTAATGGTTGTTTGCGTTAGAAACGGCACAGAGCCATTAACCGCGTGGTTTCTGATACCTCACCCTCCCTTTCCATCCTCTCCGCTCTATGCTTTGGAGCAACATGGGGGGGGGGAACTTGGCGGCAGAAGCAACCAATGAATCAGATTGGAAACATTATTTTCTGAGCATGCGAGGGTCAAAGTTGCAACAGGATCGCACAGCAGTAACAGATCCCAGTGATTACCGCAGATTTGGAAACTGAGTGGAAGTTTTGTAAAGTGACTTACCCAGTTCTGCTGCCGAATTCTGTGGTTTAAGACGGGTTGGTGCGACACCAGAAGGTCAGAAACGAACATCCTGGTAGACATGAAAGGTTTAACTGACTGTCAGCGAGAAAATGAAGGCTTTTTTCAAGGGATGCTTTGAAAACAAAAAGCCTTCAACTCTAATACAGTATGAGAAAGCGAGCGAGGCGGTAGCAAAAGCTGAGAGAGTACTTTGAGGAACTCTTTAATCTGAGCAATTGCATGAGGACTCACCTGAAGGGTAGCAGGGAACGGATGTTTCAGTAGAGCTGTAAAGTTTGAAAAGTGACAAGCGTGCATGAATCGATTGAATTCTCCCCTATATACTTAAAGCTTCAAGTGAACAAGGTTTGTTGGGCTAACGTGCATCTGTCAAACTGTGGCGGTGACTCTGTATATGACATCACTGGACTGGAGAACCGGGGAAGTGAACAGTGGAAGTGCCCCTGTTCAAGATTGGGGCCCCTGGGAGTGCTTCAGTTATCAGGACATTGCCCCGTTAAGTTCCCGCGAAAAGGCTTCTAGGTAATGGTGTTTAAAAGGAGTTGCCGCGGAATAACTGCCTCTTAGATACAAGAAGAGCAGTGTGGCTTCCGGTGAGGCTGGGGCACATTTCACCAGATCTTTACCTTACGCCATACTGTTGAAAAACCGAAGGAGGCTGATGTAGTTTACGTGTGCTTGTGGATCTGGGGAAAGCCTGTGAGTGAGTCGCGTGCAACACTCTATAAGCATATCTGCAAAGGATGGGATCGACGGGCAGTTATTACGAGCCATCCAGTAATTATATGTTGATGGCAGATGTTGTATGAGAGGAAATTACATTAAGTCGAGACCTTTCAGCGTTAGCACTGGCTGTGTTTTGGCCCCTCTCCTGTTTGCGTTAGGAGAGTCAGGCGCAGCCAGGGCTACGAGTGTATCAGCGTAGAAGATGTGGAGACGACAAATTTGCCCTTTGTAAATGT